CAATCAAAACACTCCCTAAAATACAGGGCAACTCCATCACCTCTCTTTTCTTGCCCATCCCTTCTAAAGAGTTTATAGCCATCCATTGCAACACTCCAGTTCCGCAAGTCATCCCACCATGTTTGTGATGGCAACTATGTCACAGTTCTCCTGCTGCACAATGGCTTTCAGCTCATCCTCTTTGTTGCCCATGCGGCGTGCGTTGGTGTAGACGCACTTCAGTCGGGCTATTGATCCCGCCACCGTTTTGGGGGGAGAAGCCCTAATTCCTATGTGACCATTCTCAGGTGCTCCCGTGGTTTCTAACACATCAATAACCCCTGCATTTTTGCCACTACATGGATCTCCATCCCCTACCTCCACTGAGAGAGCAGACCAAAGGACCTTGCTAGCACACCATCCCTGAAACGCTGGCGTGCCACCCCCAGGCTTATCTCTAGCAAGCCTGGTTTTATCCCTTTCCCCCTTCAAACCTAGTTTAAAGCTTTTTCAGTGAGCCGTTGAGTAGATAACTGTGCTTAGTATCAGGGCTATTTACACATGTTGTGCACTTTTTTAAATCTCCTTACCCGAACTGCTACAGCGAGATGGTTCCACGAGTCTGCCGGTCTTATCGTAACAGGCAATAGCTCGCAGTCGTACACCCTCACCACACTCCTTGGCGTCTCCATGGGATCGCATTCCCAACTGTGGCTCGGATGTACCTCCTCCGATAATGCAGTCAGACCAATTTCCGTGGGGTTGGGAGGTAAATACCTCACAGGGGCACAGCTCTGTTTCAACTTGAGGATAAACTTCTGTATTCTGGCATTTGTCTCGTTTTCTGCTTCGCCCTGTTCCAACCACAGAAATCTGTTTGTTAGCTTAACATCTGCTACTTTTGATAACAACACGTCATATTACTTATACTTGCATGAATTCAACACATTAGAACCAAGACAATCTGAATGTTAATATCCAGGAACGTTTCTGAAGCATCTATTAGCTGCTGCCAGTGCTGTGGAGTGCAAGGACAATGTATTTATCTCCAGGGGCAACCAGAGAACTTGGAAATACTGTCTTGATGTGCAGGGCAAGGAGCAAGATGTACAGTCTTACTCTACTAATGGTTGGCCCAGAAAATGCTTTGTAATTTTATAAAATATCATCTTTCTCTAATTATCTGATGAAAATAAATTGATTGTTTTGTCTCGATTTGATCGCAATCAATGGTTGCCAGGACAACTTCCAGAGGATGCTACATTAGCCACAACTTCTTCTTCGAGGCTACTTTACAAATTAGTTAAAGATGCACTCTGCACACGAACTGTACTTTGGAGAAAACAGAAAAGATAATCCTCAGTAAATTATTAGGGCTGGAAAGTATTTCAACGGTTAGATTTGGTTTAATGTTTTCTTTTGCTCTATTCCTTCAACAGGTTTTAAAAGAAGGCTCTTTACAGATCTTTCAGTAGCTTCAGGGAGCAGAAGCATTCATATAAACCTGTGGTACAGCTCTCTGCAACTGCACTCTCCATGCCCTGTTCCTGGAGGACTTCTAGGCATAAGAAGAGAGATAATATAAAGAAGAGAATTCATGCCCCTGCATCCCTACAGCTGCTCCAGGGAACAAAGGTCTGTATACAGCCTCTAAAGATAAAAATCAATGCTTTTCTTGGCGTGGCTCCAACATGACGTGGAGCAATCCTCACGCTGGCTGAGCTCAAGAACGTCTCTGCATTTGGCATCTGCGCAGAACAGGAGAATTCATCTTCACTAACAGATCGCATCTGTATCCCATCTTCAACATGTTCCTTGGGGATCTTGGACAGGCTAAAAATACTTCTGCAAAAAGTTTTTAAAGCTTTGATCCCCAAATAAATGTTTTCTCTTTGGCATTCCACACAAATAAGATACTAAAATAAAAAAAACAAGTTATATAACCCAAGAACCCAATACTAAAATAAAAAAAAATAAGTTATATAAGCCAAGAACCCTCTTTCTAGTCTGGAATCAAAAGTCATTTCACCACATGTCAGTAGGAGCACAAGCCGGCTGCCATCAATCCTTGTTTGCATACGAACATGCACCTCCAAAGAGAAGACCCTTCCGCACCAACCGCAGACCCTTAATATCACTCTCCTTCAAGCCCCAGCTCCTTCAAAATTGTATTTCCAGAGTTCCGGGGAATGTAAAGTTAGGCAGTACAAAGGGATAAAAATCAAATACTGCCAACATCTTTATATTTTTTTATATTTATATATATATTTATAAGCAAATTCAGGTAAGGTATAAGAGGTATAACTCCACATAGTTAAAGGAAAGTGGTTTAAAAGGCTTTAAATAGATTGGGAGCTCTCTAGTGCCATTTCCAGTATTTTATGTTTGACAAGCTGACAGAAGCAACAAACTCTGTATACGTACAGCTGTATGTTCTGCATTATATTAGTAAACATGGGAATTTGGGACTTGCCCATGTTTTGCCATTCTTATGTGAAGCACATCAGGCACAGGCGAGGATGCTAATAATCTCACACTTATACCACACTTTTTTTCCAACTTGCCCTGCCATCTGTTTCGTAGGAATCTTCCCTCTATTGAAGTTGCTATGAAAGCCCTATTTTGAGAGTAAAAGTTACATTCACCCCATACTCTTCACAAAGAAGTAGTTTTAGAATTAGTGATGGTGATTTTTTATTATCTTCACAGACTGCTTCAGAAATTACTACTAAAAATACCACGGCCAAAATTTTCAAGGACACAAATGCTTCAATTAAATAGTATTTTCTTTTTTAAATTAAATTTCTGTACACTAAAAAATACTATATACATGAAATATTAACAGGTAGTATATTCTGTACACAAAAATTGTATGAAACATTAAAAATACACCTTCCTACAGAAAATGCATTGTATCCATAATACTGCGAATTAACTGACTCTAGTAACTAACTGGAGACTTACCTAAAAACTCTGTTTTCATTATAATGACTTTGAATTTTGATATGTTCTGTAATAAGTCTTTCACTTCTTAAGTAATGACTAATTTTATATGTAGAGTCTATGATTACTTACAAAGTGAAATGAATAATACTATTAAAAACTGAGTGGGAGGCAAGCAAATACTTAGCAAACAATTAGCAGATTCCCACTAAATGACATTGTTAATGAACTCTTATAATGAAGCTGAAGCATTCACTTGAGCATAGACACACACAGTGTTGAACAAGGAAGTACAATTCATGCACGTTTACAGAAACACGAAATACAAATGGATAAAGGAGTCTTAACAGCATGGAGGACTTCCCAAACAGTGCTTTCCTTAAATCTTTGGACTGAGTTCATACGGATGAAATTTTTTCAAGACTTTTGGCCAGCTCCAACTTTCATGGTTTGATGCTTCAAGACGTCAAGAAGACAGGTCAAACACTAATCTCATCAACTTGCCCTCTTGACCTAAGGTAAAACCAAAACCGATGTCTGATTTGGTCCTTCCGTGCTGCTCTCTGTGGTTTTGTGCACCACTTGGGACACCCGCTGCATGTTCACCACTTGCTTTTCAGGACATCTTTGCTGGGCACGGGCTGAGACCATGAGCTGCTTCCCAGCAGGAGGAAGGGAACCCAGCAAGGTCTCATGAGAGAGCCAGATGGTGTTTGGTCACAAGCGCAGTGCAGGAGAGGAGATGAGCCATCAAAACCTGAATATCAGAAACCACTTTTGGTCCACTTACTTGAATGGTTCTATGTCTGATGTAGAACGGAGTAAGAAAGGGGATAGGTAGGACCATACTGTTGCATAACGGTCACAGATGTATGTAAAGACAATTCAGATTTAAAACTACCTGGAAGTAAGTATTCACTTCTTTCTTACATATTTTTCTATAAGATCAGGCACCTATTATTCTGATAGGGATAAAGGATTTCTACTACTATAAACGTACAGGCATTGATATAGAGAACATTTTAGAATATGCTCTCTGGCAGAAACAACAGAGCATTGTATAATAATTATTTTTATGTAGAAGAGAAATTTTATCTTTTAATGAGCCATATTGACGAATGGCAGCTTGAAGCCATTATGTCTGTGTACTGTAATTGTTAGTTACTAAAAACTTGGATCATTCCAACAGTAACAAACTGAGTAACACGACAGCCATGCAGCCAGGCACAAGTGAGTCTAGAAGAAAGGAGCAGTGGTAGCCACCATACTTTGCTGCCATTCAGTTCCCAGGCATTATCACAGCAGAAATTTTTACAGCAATGTTAGTATTTTACTCCATAGTGGAAGTCTTTGAAGTTTCACCTCTGTTAACAGAGTAAACTCAAGCCAGCTACACCATAGCTCTCAAACACAACACAGAAATATGAAAAGGTGTGAGTGTTCAGAATAACAGTGACAGTAAATTTCGTGTAAACCTTCTGACAACAGTATAATTCATTTTGATTTGATTTAGCTATGTGTGCGGGGGGAGGAAGACAACTCCTAACAAAAAAGCAGCTCCAAACTATTAATGTTACAGGGTTTTAAAGCTTTTCAGTTTGGTCAGCATTCAAATAACCTAATAACAAACCACAACAGCAAGTATGGCAGACTGTTCCATGAAATGGTTTGAATTAGCGTGTTTAATGAATATATATAAAAGATCAAACAAAACTGTTTTAATGACACTATTTTTCTTTATTCATGGCATTAATTTGCCCTGTTGAACCATTGGATTCTGCTGAGCACAAAACTCCCAGCTTTAAATTTCATGCAGATTTCAAGTCAAACAGAAAATCACACTGATTTTTATTTTTGTATACATGTTTGCTGCATGCTTCCTAGATTAATAGGTCAGATAAACCTGAACAATGCATAGTCCCTGTTTTATTCGCTTTAGGTCTAAAAACGGTTTTCCACCATCAAGTTTTTCTGCACTATTCTCATGCTGAAATGCATGTGCATAAAGCAGGCAATGATCAGTATCAGACCAAAAATCAACGAAGGACGAACACTATTCTGTCTGGATTTTCCCAAAACCCCAACATCAGTCCACCAACATCTGAGAAGCATTATTCACAAGTATCACCATCAGAGAAATATTATAAAAGATTATACCTGTGAGTGACCGTCTCCTACTCCTAGTTGATTCACAGTCAAACAAGCATGCTGTAAATTTAGACCAGGGGGTAAATGTGCAGTCATCTTTGCAGGGAACGAGACACTCCTGTACAAGAGATGGCATAGCTCCTGCCCACCGCATGCAGTCACCGACATCGGCAGAGTCGTCGTATTCCGACAAGCATGTAACAGCTGAAAAGTAAAGGTACAGAAATCTTTACATTGTTATATATATTGTATTATACTCTCTGCAGCCGGTATTTGTGTTCTATGAGAGATTCATTCTCCTGGGTTAATAGGATAAAGCTGATTTATTTTTAGGTCATTATTCATGCATCACTCAAAGATGTGCGAGAAGCTTCATAAAACCATAAAGACACATTCTTATTTGAGCAGTGTGTTATCTAAATGACGATATAAATTCAATATTCTCAAGGTGGCAGTCATTTTAAGAGTTGGGGCAACAGTTTAACCAATGATACACTGTACAACCAAACAAGAAAAAAATACAATATTGCAGCTACATGCCATACAGCACATTTAGTTGAGGCCAGGATTGCCAAGCTGTGATGCCCACACTACCCGTGGAAACTGCTTCGAAGTGGGGAAAAAAAAAAAAATCAAAAATATGAAAGAAAGTTTCTTTCTCCAAAACTGCCATCTTTTTCATATTTTAGACAAAAGAAACAACTGCCTGAGCAGCTTTCCCATACAGAGTGGTGACCTCTGCACTGTCTGAGTAGCAGATGCTACAGCTAAATGCTTCTTGCAGCAAGGTGCAAACACCAGGTCTGCCCCCTCCAATCTGAGTTCCCTAAACATCGTGCTACCCCTTGTGCTCTCCCGCTCTCTGGCCGTATGAACTTTTCAATCTCTTGCATAAACAGAGATGCTTAGGAGGAAGGGCACGAGCCTTCAGCCTGCAGCCATGATAGAAAGGTGTCGCAGCCACTGCACTTTAGTAGAAGCCTGCTTTTATGGTGCACGACAACTTGCTACAAGAGCACCACTGAATGGATCCATTAACAGAAAAAAACCACAAAACCCAATTGCTCTGTAGGTCTCAGCTGAGGACAGTGTGACTCTGCCGATCTCCATCTGACCTGAAGTGCCTTCACACATGGGCAGAGGCAGAGCCCCTGCACACGTACCAAGCTTTACCTTCCCACACAGGACTATCACATTTAAACGTGATGCATTTCTCTGGTCCTCTGTCCAAAGCTTTACCAGGTTTCTAAGACTGGACCATGGCCATAGGAAACAATAGGCACAGGGCCTGGGGCTGAGGTCTCTGAATTTGGACATAGGTGCCTTTGGGGTCAGGCAAGAGTCAAACAGGGTTTGCAAGAGCTCAGCCCAGGACTTAGATGCACTGATTTCTCCCCAGTTTTATTTAAGGTCCATGTCCTTTTCCTTCAACACTCGTGCTCTTTTTTGGATCATAATGATTAATTTTTCAGGGTGGATAATGGCACTGTATAGCCATGATGGAGGACAAAAGTATTAATGTATAAATCTGAGTCACAGGAACCTATAATAAAACTTGCTAAAGTTTCAGTGAATTAATAATAAGTAATTATAATAAATAAAAATAGCCTGCACATCATGTAGTCTTTAATTTCAATAGTAACAATTAATTTTCACAAAATCTCCAAGATTATAAGCTATTTATATCCTACCTTGTATGTTAACCAAAGCAAAGATAGGTCGTGATGATTAAAGTAATAAGGTCAGGGTCAGAGTTCCGAATTGAATTTGGCCACAAGAGTTTAGTCATGTCAGGCGCTCTGATTTCAGGCAAGTCCACACAGTGTATCATAAAACTACAGAAGATGAAATGATTTAATCCAGATTTTATTACTTAACTTTAATAACCTGTGATATTATTTTATGGAGATTCCTAAATAATTCATTTTTTTGAGGCTGCATATATTTTTCCTTGTTGCCAGCACTTAATGTAACTAGGAGCACATGAAGAAAAAGGGAAAAGTAACTCTCTCTTTTCTTACAGTTAAAGGATTTACTGGGGCTTAACTTTGCAATGAATACACACGATTTTTGGTTTTTAACTACAGTACTGTACGGGAGCAAGGGATGGGCTAGCAACCACCTGGAAATAAAAAATATCTTATTAAAATGTAATTAGATTTCTAAGGAAAAAATCAGCATTTTGAAGAGTGTGCAAAAGGCAAGCAATTGTTAAAGGTCTGTTTAGACTCAAGTGACAGTAAATCAGCATATTAATAACTACCTCTAAATTGCTGATCCTTGCCTTTCAATTTCAATCCTTGTGACCCTTCCTATCTCTCAGCTCCGGCAGTCAGAAACTCGGAGACATTCCCCTTCTCAATTACGAGAGTGAGAGGACAGAGGTCACCGCTCTGTATGGGAAAGCGGGGTAATTGCCCTCTTCAGGAAGGTTAAACAAGTAATAGAGTCTGATGCCCAAGGTCTGTGTAGCCTCATTACCTTCAGCAAGGACACCAAAGATTTGGCAACACAAACAGGTCCACGTGAAGTATGGCCATGCGTATGCAAACCATCTTCTCAGCATCGCTACAACCACTAGCGTCTGCAGGGAAGCAAACAATATCCTACGCTGCCAGCCCCATGAAGTAATATTTGCAATTGCATAATAAACCATCATGTTGCAATGTTTACTATTATCTGACAGAAGACCACAATTCATTCCTGACATTTATTAATGGCAGCACAAGTGCTGGAACTTCTAAATATCGATCTTAAACCAGACACTCCATGCTGCAATGAGTTATTATCTAATGGCCCAGTTTTCTGCACTAATGTCCTTAATTTTAAGCATACAAATAATTCACTGAGTTCGTTGAGCCTATTTAGATGCCAAAAGTGGTGGATATATAAGGACATGTGAAATCAGGGCAAGTATTTGACAGAGATCATGGAGCTTAAAGAAATCAGTGGCAATAGTAAAAATGGGTAGAGAAAACTTAAATTAAAACAACAAATAATGTAGTGGATTATGCATAAGCATGGAGACAAGGAGCTGAAAAGAAGAAAAAAGAATGGATAATCTAGCAAGAGACATAAGATCGAAAGGAGGGGAGGAAGAGGATCTCATATGAGATGATTAGGGACAGGCAGGTGGTTGAAAGTATAGAATTGCTTCGCTTCTCTTCTTTAGGAATTTTATAAGTGCAGATCCTGGTAACTGAGTCCAGTCATTCCTGACAGAGCAACAAAGCCTCAGTGTCAGCAAGGAGAGAAGGCAGCAGCCAAAGAGCAAGGAATCCAAAAAGCTTTTTCATACCCAAAATACTACCTAAGAACAAACAATTCCATTTGCTTCCCGCTCTCCTTGACTTTTGCACTTATCAATGCCAACGGTGTTTTTACCAAACTGGTGGGCCCAGATGAGCCCCTCTATGGTGACCCAACTGGCAGCTGCGTCACTTTGCTGGGAGAGGAGGCACTTCTTGTTTTACACGCTCAAAATAAAACACCAGCCATGAACATCTGGTACCCTCACACCCCAAAACCCCACACCTCCTTGGATTGGCCTAAGCAGTACTGTGCATTTCAGTCGCATTAGGAGGCAATTCATTTCCACTCAAGAGTCTGCAAACATCTTCAAAGACGATGCCAATGCATGACTTCTTCAGTTTGAACTGAACTATCTCCAAAAGCCTGAGCTTAATGGGCCTGATCTTTACAGCACGTCAGTCCTAAGAAACGGCAGGATTTCTGCTACATGCTTACAACTATGCTTGATGTGAACAGCATAAACTGCTAAAATAAATTGAATAATAAAACAAAAGCCCATTAGGGCATTTTAATGGATTGAGAAGGGCCAGACATGAAGCAGCAGATCCGCTCCAGTGGTTCGTTCAGGAACTGGTCGCTCCATTTCTGCCTGCTGCAAACTTATTTCCCAGTTAAGTTAGTTTTAACTTTTAAGAGAATTTTATTTTTTTTTTAAGAGAAAAATATTTTTATGAGAACGAATCTGTTCTCAGTGGACCTTCAGGAAAGTTAGTAAAATTATTTATCCTCGGTGGTTTCAAACTAGTGATTGGTTTGGCTCACGTGTGGTTTATGTTGCATAAAAAAATATTTCCCCGTAATCCTCAGTTCTGTCACAATGCTTTTAAATAAACTCATACCGCAAAGCCTTTTCTGCTATGTCAACATCTCCTTGGTTTTTTCAAGTGGGATACCACCAGAGGGCAAATGCAGCCCATTTGCAGCCCTATGCACCAAGGGGAAAATCAATCAATCAATCAATCAATCACATAGTAACAATAAATCCCTCCTAGACATAATGTGTGATTTCTACATTCTCTGCAGCATTTAAAAAGGACACAAACATACAAATAGAAACAGCTAATAAGGGAACACTGCCAGCTAAACAGTTTCAAAGTATAATATTGATTCCCACGAAGAGGGGCAATGCAGGATTTCCTTTTGAACTCTCGCTATTCTTTCTTATTATTACCAGTCAATGCCACCGAACTGGAATTAAACACTTGGGGTCAAGCTGCGGGATGACAATTTAATGCAGTTCTGTTGATATCAAACAACGTCTGGCACCAAAAAAAAGTACACCTTCTCTCGTAACAATAAAAACAAGATCATGAATTAAATTGAAAGGTAATCAGGTTTAAAATGTTAAAAGAAAATTATTTTTTTTCAGGGCAGGGCTGGAATTATTTAACAGACAGTGTGGGTACACTCATTAAGCTGCCAACAAAAGCTAGCGACTAACATGAGCAATGAAAAGAGCTGCAGATGCAACCACTTTGCTTCAAGGCATAAAAGTCAAGTGTTAAATGTACAGCTTGGCGAGGAAATTTCCCCTTTTGCTGGTGCGGGGTCCTGTCGGGATACTGAACAAGGACTGCTAGTGGGATATTCAGTATGTCAGCCTCTGTCTTCTGGTTTTACACTTACACAACAAGAGTATGTTTGTAAGCCATCATCTTAGCATATGGCATGCAGAAGCATATGGAAGCTATATTCTTTAACTACATTTATCTCAAATTAAAAGTAAATAGCAGACATTTCTTCTACAAACTTTTACATGGTGAAATCAAATGTTTGTGTGCTGTCAAATTGCAGATGGATTGAATCACAGAATCGATTAGGTTGGAAGAGACCTCTGGGATCATGACGTTACATCACCACCAAAGCAGCATGTCAGCATCAAACTCGAGGAA